TTAAAATAATGTGGAAATACATTGAGTTATCATTTGTTTTAAAAACCGCAACAATAATGACTAAAAACGTTTTCTAAATTAATATTGTTTTTTGTTTTTTTAAAAAATATTTTTAAAACAGTAGCAGAGTTTTGCTACATTGGCTATCTTTTAAGCTGCTGCTACAAGGGAGTGCTGCTATATTGACCATTTATAAGCCTGCTGCTACAAGGAAGTGCTGCTGCATTTACTGAGAGTTTGGTTTGGGCAAGCAATCTATCATTAAAAAAAAAAAACTTTATTCAAGTTTTTAAACTTTTTCTGGTCTGGTTTATTAGCATTCTTTAAAATTTATATATTCTATATATTTCCGGTTGAAATTCTAATTTTAGGCTTTCAAATCTGCATAGTTTTATATTTTTAAACAGAAATTCAATAATCGGAAGAAAGCTCATGAGAAGTTTCATCGTCATGAAGCTAGCCATTTTCACCGAGCCAACAAGGAAATGATTTTGACAAACATGTCAGATTCTACAGTTTCCAGTAAATTTTCTATTCAACATCTACAAGATATATTACCATATTTTTTTTTGTCTGATTTTTCTGGGCTGTAAAAGCTTTTTGAAGACTCCTTTATCTGGCCATCAGAGGCAAGCTAAAGCAGTCTTCAAATCTATGCCAGCTCTTAGAATTTAGGTCTATGGATGTACCAGTTTTAAATTAATTGGATGAAGTGACCAGAGAAGTACAAGTGGGTATATCCAGATAAACAAATAAAACCTTGTATGGTATTTCGTTAGTTATCCACTGTGAGTTATCAAACACAATCTAAAAAAAGAATTTATTTTGATTCATGATGGATGAATAATCTGATAACACAGAAAAAGGGTATTATTAGCCTAACCAACAGATATCCTTCCGTTCTGTGAACAAGAATCAAAGGAAAAAGCAAGGATCTGTTTTTGATTATGAAAGACATCCTTCTTCATTCCAACTTATAGCTCAAGAACTATTGGAAAAAATGGTACAATGAAGCTGCTGCCATGTCTTCTGAAATAGTTGGCTTGCAAAAACTTGTTTTTCAACAAGAAAGCAGAGCCCTTTATGTTGATTGAAGAGCTCACAATTCAAACTTGGTTGTACAAGATGAAATAAAAAACATACCTGATATAGAAAATATCATATCACTAAAAAGTTCAAAAGTTCACCACTTTTACCAGAGGCTCACCAAAGAGACTCGCTTGGTTTTCAAGCCTAAAAGACTAAAATGAAAGTAAAGATGGACACCAAAATGAAACATCATTTAGACCTTTTTGCCCAATCAGATGGATAATGCAATAATGATCACAACTTTCAACATAAATTTCTTTTATATCTCTATCAGCTTGCTTTCTAACTTTTCTTCTATTTGTTATATATAAAGCAGACATCTAAATTATTAGTGAAATAAAACTTAGTAGCTGCTGCAAAATAACCCATCAAAATTGTTTTAGCAGATTTGCAGTAAACCTATATAGGCATTTTTTAGCTGTTCATTGGAGTTTTGCTCATGGTTTATTTAGTGGACCATTAGTGGCGTCTGCGTTAAATGGCAAGCCAATAACTTTCAGATATGTTATTAGTTGTTAGTCATCGGTCTTACACTTTTGTTGGTTTCCATTAGTGGTCCACTAAGTAACTGTTGAGCAAAACTACAGTGGTTTGCTCAAAATGACTATACAGGTCCACTGAAATTCCTCTATTGAATGTTTGCTGGGAATGTATTTGTATTTCCAGTAGCCCAACATTTTTGAATATTAAAACTATTTAAGTCTATATATTTAATTCTTATATAATTCTATTACGATATTAATAATATTAAAAAAAGACTTAAAACCATCCAATCATAATACAGTAAACTATTTAAAGTTCTTTAAGGATAATTTAAATTCAAATCAACAGACACTTAAATCAGTTCAAATATGGCAATGAAAATGATATTAGGAAATAACTATAAAGTGTAATGATTTTGATCTAGAAAAATATATCTTTAAAAAAGAAATAAAAGTATTAGAACATAAAATGTAATCTTGATGCAAGATATGGTAGCTTTATAAAAGTCCTATAGCACAAATTTGTAGATTCTCTTGCAATCATTGCTGCTTCATTAGGGGACATGGAAACTGCACAATTT